TCAGAGGAGAGGTGCCCCCGCGGCCATGAGGCAGTGGGGCCAGGTGAGGAAGGACCAGTCTTGCTGCAGCATGAAGGATGGATTGAAAGAGAAACCAGAGGGAGGGAAAACAGGTCCAGGATTGCAGGAGGGTGAAGAACCAGAAGGCGGCAGATTTTTTATGAGAGAAAACTGTACAGCAATGAAAATGAATAGCTACAGTTACACAGAATTACTGAAGAGGAATCTCACAATTGTACTGTGGAGTGAAATCCTGCCTGCTAGCAGATTCCATTTATAGAGCATCCAAACACCAGGCAGAAGTAAACCATGATGTTTAAGGATGTAACATAGATAGGAAAACTATAAAGAAAAGCAAGAAAGTACTATAAAAATCCAGTTATCTCCAGGGAGGAAATCTTTGAAGGTGGTGATTGGGAAGGTACACAAGGGGAACTTTTGGGTGCTGATAATATCCTATTTTTTTTACCTGGGTGGCGGTCCCACTGGTGTTGGTGATAATACATAAAGCTATACATTTTAGTTCTTTGCGCCTTTCTGTGTGGGTTCAATTATAAGGGGGAGGGGAGTCTAAAGGAGAGATAGAAGAATGGAAAGCCTGCACAAGGCGCATTACAGTAAGAAAGAGGAGTTCCTGGGCTTCTCTCCTCTCTAAAAGGCTCATTTTTTCCCACTCAGCATCTCTGAAATCAGTGTGCACCCTCCCATTGATGGCATCTCAGATGTGATGACAGTGGGGTTGTTTTGGGGTCCCTCACCATCCCAACAGCCTCCCTTGGGCTAGCATCTGCCCCTAGAGCAAGGCTGTGCCCACGGAGTTGGAGCTGCCCCAGGGTACATGCCCACAGTTGGTCAGGAGTGAGAAGGGAAGAGGGCTGGCACCTCTGCCAGTGCAGTGCTTGGTCTCGGCGGGAAAGTGAGGAAGGAAAACTGGCTCCAAGCCCTGCTTCACTAGTGGCACCAGGCCACTGACACCAGCGGGCTGCTGCTTCCCCTGTGCTACCTCCCTTGGTGACTGGCCAGCCTTGTGCTTAGCTGCCTGGGCCAAGACAGTGTTCGGATGAAAGAAGTGTGGCCAGGGACCCATGAACCAGCCCTGGCCATACTTCTTTCAGACCCATGTGGGACTCACCCTTCACCCGAAGGTGCGTTCAGCCTCCATTTAGGGCAGATGACACCTGAGTGAGGAGGTCATAAAGCAAGGTATCAGAAAGAGGCAGGGAAGAGGTTAGGTCAGATTTCAGAGGAACTTCCTATAGCAGCTGGGGCACCATGAAACACCTACTCGGTGTCAACGCTGCCCTGCCCTTCTCTGGAGACTGAACAGTTGGCAATGTGATGTCTGGGAGGCTTTGCTACATTGCACAGAGTGAGTCCATGAAGCCTACGTGCTTTACCCACAGTATCTCACTAAACCAGCCCCCAAGTCCAAGAGGTTCGCACTGTTCTGTTATTTCCATTTTAAGCTAAGGAAACTAAAGATGGAAGATGTAAAACAACAAATCTCCAAGCTCACATAGCCAGTAAGGGGGGCGGTGGGGGGGGGGTGGAGCGCAGGACTTGACCTCTCCAAAGGTCCAAAGGCCGCGCTCTTGACCATTAGGCAGCTCTGCCTACTTGTGTGAGGCTCCGTGGCTGCCCTGAGAAAGATCTGTCATTTTCTGGCCCATTCTGTATCCCTTTTTCAAGGAAGGATTACCTACTTCCAGAAAGCTGCTGCCTGCTTCCCTCCCAACTCCCGAGGAGTTCTTCCAAATAATGACCAGAGAGTAGCTAGTACGGTTTGATGGCTTACCACGATCTCTTTTGACTCCTCTTCCCGTCCTTGGCCCCAAGCCTTTCCAATTGTGCTAAAAGTAGCACTGAGCAAATCGAGGTCTGTCCAGGAGCCAGGACTATTTTGACTCTGTCCTCAGGAATCATCTGGTCTGAGGCGTTGTACAAGCTGGACTGCTCCTATGAGCACTCAGATGTGGTGCCAGGAATGTTCTGGCCGACACACCTGTCCCTAGAGCTGGGCCAAAGCTGCCACTCACCCCGTGGCCTCCACCACGTGCCTCCTGAGATACTGCTTCCAGGCGGGATGTGTGGTGGCATTTGCACTGTTGGGAGGATAAGAGGCCTCTCTCTCGCTCTCCCCCCCCCCCCCATAAGAGAACAACCAGCCAGTTCAGTGACACTGCCTCTCACCCTCTCCATTCAATGGGAGCATATCAACCTGTGGATTTATGACATCCACTCAGAATGTGGGCTTGGACACAGCACACATTATCCCTCCATGGGAGGCTGAAGGATGTCCTTCCTTCCCTGGAGGTCTTTAAGAGTGGAAGAGATTTGCATCTGACTGGCTTCAATGTAAGTCTTGGTGCAAGGCTCCTGCCTGGAATGCCCATCCTCTCCTTTGCTAGGATGGCTTGGCCAGTCTTCAAAGTCCAGCTGAAGTCCCACCCTGCTAGGGAAGTCCTCCCTGACCAGTCCAGTCCACCCTTCTCTTACTGCCCAATGCCCACACTGCCCGCTTGTAGAGGCGTTTTTTCCCTTTTGTCTGTAGCCTTTCTGGCTCTGAGCTGTGAGCGGCGACAGCCAGGTGTCCTTCACTCGCCAGCAGCCAGGGGGCAGCAGCCTCCCCTCACCTGCGGGCCGCACAGCGGACAGGGACAGCCTCTCTGCGACAGCCTCTCTGCTCAGGAAACAAGTTGGCCGTCTCCTCCTTGTGTTGGCTCGCTCGTGTGTTCCACACACAGACACTGAACACCGCCCCTGCCTGGGCTGGACCCTGGAGATACAGTGTCGGATAAGACCCAGGTCCTGCCTGAAAGCAAGTCCCAGTCTCCTAGGGAGACCTCCCACCATATAGCGGGCTAAATGCAGTTACTCAAACATTAGCCATCACTAACTCTGCCCCAGCAAGTTGGGAAATGCCTCACAGGGGATCTGATCTGTGACACGTCCCCCCAGAAGCTCAGAAATGCACACAGTGGAAAAGTGGGAGAAAGAGCATTACAGTAGAGGGAACAGCAGGTGCAAGGACCAGGAGGCACAAAAGAGCCTAGTGCAGCCTGGCAAGGGCAGAAAGTTGCCATATTTTTGCTGTGTTCTCAGACGAGTGGCCAAGGACAGGGAGGCTGCTAGGCTCCCTCTCATGGCTAGAGAAATTGGGGCAGGAAAATAGGGCTTGGACCCCAGCCCTGCCCCAGAAGGTGTCAGAAACCTAGAGCCCCTCCTCCTCTGCACCCTGGGGCGGCCAGCCTTCCTCTGTTCCTTCCCTGTTAGGATGAAATTGGCTCCTGTGACAGTGATGTGTTTTCCTGCTGGTTAGAATCTTAATATTGGGTGAATCACAAGGCCCAGCTACCCTGGCATGGTGGTCAGGGTCAGAAGTACGAATCTGAACAGCACATGATCCTGACTGCTGCAGGCAACTGCAGAGGTTGCTGCCTTTGTCACTGATAATGAGAGCACTTCCAAGGCTGTTGCTCTCACACTCATTCCTTAGACAGCCTTAAGCGCCTTGCTCACATCATCCCATAATAATAGTATGAAAAGTCACCTCCTACTGAGCACTTTATGAGTATAATTTCATTTAACCACTAGGCGACTTTATGGTATAGGGCTAAGGGACATGCCTGAATCAGAATCCCACTCTCTGGGACTTCAGAAAGCCTAAGCACCACTTTCTAATGCCACCTCCGTCATGAGAAATGACCCTGGCTAGAGGAGGCTGGACAGCTTGGCCCTGTGCCCTAAGAACCCCTAGATCCCACCTCCCCACTTCAAGGGCAAGGCTCTCACCTATTCAGACTCTCATGACACCTTTACCGCATGCCTACTGGGTGCAAGGTGTGGTAGTGTGGGGACCTTTCCGGGAAAGACTTTACAAAGACATGTATACCCAGTTACCATGTGGCTCACCACCCAGTGGGACCCGGAAGGACTCCTATTACACCCCCACCCAAAACTTTCCCATTCTTAATGTGACCTGTGCAGCCTTCCCAACGCCCTGGCCAACCCATTTCTCCTAACCTTCTATAGGGCCCATTACCCAAACCACCCAACCTTTGCTTTGTTTCTGCTTTCTTTCACTTGGGAGTCATTTGCATGTCATTTGCATGTGGAAGGCACTGGGGATACATTAATAAGACGAATTAATAAGACATGGTCTCTGCCCTCATGAAGCACAGTCTAAGAGAGAGGGAGACAAACATGTCATCAGTGCAATGACTGAAATGCCCTGGAACACCACTTCCTCACTCACTGCCACAAAGACATGGACTCAGTCTTACAAAGTGGCAGCATGAAGCAAGGGGAAGGAGATGGGACCTAAATGGAAAGAAGCTGGTGCCACCACCTGGGGGACACTGGAGAAGTCACTTGGTTCCTTCATCTGTAAAGTGGGACTAACAACACTTAACCTGCCTATCTCATAAAATGTTAGTGATAGGCTTTGTTAAATGACATTAAGCACATGACAACATTTCACAGGTTACCAAGTATTGTTTATCTTCTGCCTCCTGGGAGGCCTACATAAATCTGGGCACGGAATAGATATTCAGTACATTCCAGTCAATTTAGATTGAATTGGTTCATATACCCCGTTTACCACCTTCTGTTAGGTCTGTGGACTTCTGAGGTCATTGTCAACCTAATACTAATAATGCTGACCTGCCTGCTGGGGGTTGGCTGTGAGGACCAAGTCGGGATGTGAAAGTGCCTTGGAAGCTCTCAACATGGAACCGTACTGACTCCTGGGAAACCATTTGGGTCCCCCATCCTGGGGGGGCCTGCGCTGAGGGCCAGGTGGCCCTGAATGTGGGAGCCTCAGATATGGGGCAGCCTCCCCCAAGCCCAGTCCCATTGCTTTTGGGAAATAAACATTGTACTCTCCCCAACTTAGGCTCTGAACCGCTGGGCTGCCTGGGCCAGGACAGTGCTATGATGTGTCTAAGGGGACCGGGCCACCGTGTGCCCACCCCGCATTAGCCCTTCCCATCTCATTTCAGCACCCCTACCCCACGGAGGATGAGAAGAGGCAGATCGCAGCCCAGACAAACCTCACCCTCCTGCAAGTAAATAACTGGTGAGTTCTCGCCTGCCCAAAGGCTCTCGGATCCAGGGGCCACCTGCCTGGCGAGGGACTGCGTAGGGGGGAGAGAGACAGCCCAGCCCGGCCTGGCCCAGCTCCCTGGGCAGTCTTCCCCTTGGGCTCCAAGCAGAATCAACCCCAACCCAACCGCAACCCAACGGCCTAGAGCTTCATCTGCAGCTTCTCAGCGCCCTCTGCTGGGAGATGGTTCCGGAACAGCGCTGGAGGCCTGCGCGGAAAGCCCAGCCCCGCCTGCACCAGAGACGCACATGGAGCACAGGCCTCGGAGCCTGCAGGAGCCGCCACCTCTGCGAACTGAAAAACTACAACATTCTGCAAAGCTGGGGTGGGAAGGCGGAGGGAGAGTTGGCTGTTCTGACTTCGCAGGATCTGTTCCCTTTCTCTGTGTCTGGCTGGGCTGTCCTAGAAACCTGAGAGCAAGGTCTGGTTGGAGACCGGTAGCCCCAAAAGATGGGCCCCCTGATCGGAGCCCTGGGCCCTCTGGAGAGAGTCAGAGTATAGTGCTTCTGCCTAAGGGGACCCCTACATCCTCTGTCCAGTCCTGACGAGTCCTGAGTAGAGATGTCTGACCCTCCTCATGCATCCCTCCCGTGCTGCTTTGTGGCTACCAAGCTCAGGTGATTCCATGAGCTTTGCGGGGCCCAGGGCTCTTCCCTGGCTAGGCTTTCACACCCTACATCAGCTCCCAGTCTGTTCTGTACAGTGGATCGGCTGCTGAGAGCCTGGAAGCAGCTCTGCACTCCCTGCACATGCGTGCATGCGCACACACATGTCACACAACTTCGGGGGGATGACTAACCAGGTCTCTCCCTTTACCCACGGGCAGGTTCATCAATGCCCGGAGGCGCATCCTGCAGCCCATGCTTGATGCCAGCAACCCAGACCCTGCCCCGAAAGCCAAGAAGATCAAGTCGCAGCACCGGCCCACCCAAAGATTCTGGCCCAACTCCATTGCTGCGGGGGTGCTGCAGCAGCAGGGTGGCGCCCCAGGGACAAACCCAGACGGTAAGAACTGGGGATAGGTGGACACTAGACTGGAGCTGGTGGGTAGACCTCCGGGACAGGCTCTGCAAAGACGCAAGGGCTGACCATCTACTTGCCTGAGTGACAGTGGCAGCACTGTCACAAGAGTGATCTCCCTCCAAGGATGTGTGCGAGCCTGAAAGAAGGGGATGTTTCTGCATATGTGTTAACAAGCCAAAAAAGCAACCTCATAAAGAGGAGTGGGAGTCCATGGACATCTGAGTCAATGACTGCTCAGCAGAGCCCCCTCCTCACTCCTACACCCACCCAAAGTTCCTTAGCGTCCATGAGTGTCTACACGGCTCCCCAGGAGCCAGGCCATCTATAAATACCAAAGCGGGCAGCTGGCTCGTGAACGGAGGCCAGGAAGAGCTTTGTTTTCCCAGCTTCTCCATCACACCCTCCAGATACACTTTTCTAATCGCTGGTCGCCTGGTGCACAATGAATAATTCAATGAGCCAGACATTTTATAGCTCGGCACGTGAAGATGGCTCTGTGTGGGAAGCGGAGTGGAGGTGTGGGTGTGCGCGTACATACCTTCCTGCGCGTCTATACAGTTGCGCTCAGGTTCCAGGTGCTGGGCAATTGCCACGTCAGGTGTAGCAGAAATAACAGGTTTTGAGCTAGACAGACCAAGAGGAGAATCCCAACTCCATCATGCCTGACTGTCACCTTGAGCTAATGACTTAACCATCTGAGACTCAGTCTCCTCCTCTTCAGAACAGGGATAATAACACCTACCGTACAGAACCGCTAGAAAGTCGAAGTACTTAACATACTTACATGGAAGACGCTCGGTGACTGGTAACTAGGAGCACCACTGCTTGGGATGGGGCAGGGCGTAGCTGACCCATGGCTGGGGGACTTGATACCCAGGAATTGTCGACCACCTGTGAGCCAGTCCCTGAAACTCTACCCAACCCAACTCTACCCAACACAGGCTCCTGGCCCTGACCCTTGTCATCTTCTCTCATGTAGGTTCCATCAGCCTGGACAACCTGCAGTCCCTGTCCTCAGACAATGCCACCATGGCTATGCAGCAGGCTATGATGGCTGCACACGATGACTCATTGGATGGGACAGAGGAAGAAGATGAGGACGAGATGGAAGAGGAAGAGGAAGAGGAGCTGGAGGAGGAGACCGACGAGCTTCAGACGACAAATGTCAGCGACCTGGGCTTGGAACACAGTGACTCCCTGGAGTAGTTGGCAGCCCAGATGGCAATGGTCACCGAGCGGGGGAGGAGTGTCGTCAGGAGGGCTTCAGGGTGGGGGGGAGGGGGGCATGGGCAGGCAGCACCAAGGAAGTTAGGCCCTAGCTTCCCCAAATCAGTAGCTTGAAGTAATGCAGAGGAGACACCTGCTCCTTCCCAACTACCAAGCTTCAATGAGTACCCCAGCCCCACTTCCCCAGAACTGCAGAGGACTCCGTCTGCGGGATCCGTCAAGCAGCCTGCGCGGAAAGGCAGGAGTGAGAGCTGGACTCACCACATCCCTGAGGACAGATGGCATCCATGCCCCCTCCCACCCCCTCCCCCCACTGAAGGACTTGGGTTGTCTGCAAGCCCTGCACTGTGAGTGGATCGGCGCTGTTCAGAGTGAGCCTTGCCAGGGACAGAGTTAGGAGGAAAGGGAGAGTTGGGGGGTCTGGGTTCCAGCCCCACAAGGTTCTCAGCTCCTTGACAGACATTCAAGGGCAGGAGGAGCCCAGACGCGTCACCTGTGGCTAGCAGAGCAGGAGGCCCCGCGGCGCCACGGCCTGCAGATCAGAGTGGGACGCAGGCTCCCGAGGGCTCCTGCTCATTCCTCCAAGGACCTGCCTCAGGCCCAGGCAGCCATGGACTTGGGAGAGAGGGCAGGAGCCCCCATAGCCACCTTCTCTCTCTCTGTCCCGGGAATGAATGGTAAGCCGGCAGGCTCAGATTGCAGGGGGTTCAGAGGAATCCCTTCCCCTGGGTTGGCTCCAGGACCCAAGGAGATGCAGAACCTGAGCTAGGAGCCACATCAAGGTGACTTTGGGGACCACGGCCATCCCTAGGTGGTCACGGAACTCCGCTCCTGTAACAACAGGACAATGGTGTCTTATCCCAGATATTCCAGCCCTCAGATGGAGCTCCTCAGATGTCCCAGCCCTCAGCACCCCCCCGGGACCGCCCCCCTGCTCCCAGGCTGGCCCCACCAGCCCCCATTCTCTCTTCTTCATTCTATCCTTCAGAGAAGGCGGAAGAAACATTGGAAAGAAGCATCCAGTCCAGGGGGAAGCCGGGGGTTGGAGAAGGTGCTACATCCCTCTTCTCATCAATATCCACAGTGTGGGCGAGGGGCCCAGAGACCTGGGGCCCACCCGCACACCTCGCTGATCTACCCACCACCGTGACACACAGCACGGGAGGAACTGGGGCTCCCTCGAGGAGGAGGCTTTCCACCCCCTGCCCTGACTCACACCGCCCCCCCAACTTTCGGGCCCCCAGGATTGGCACCCCTCCCCCTCCTCTCCGCCCCCTTGGCTGTGAATGACAGGACTGATCACATGTGTGTTTTCCATTGGATTTAATTTAATGGACTTGCAGTTTCATTTGTAAATTGTGCATTGGCCATCTCCTTCAGTGGCAGGGTGCGGCTACCTGGCTCCACCTTGGGGACCCTCGGGGGGGCCCTCCTGGGGGCTTCCCCTCCCCCGCCGGGTTGGGGTGGAGCAGAAGGACGGTCGCTTCCCTGAGGTCTCCCTGAAATGAATGTATTTCTCCCCCAAAAGAGCTGATATTTAATGTTTTAATAGGGATTTTTGAGAAACAAATAACCTTATTTATAATCTGGGTGATCCAATCATTTTTTACTCCCTTTTGATGCCATAAGTAGAGGAAAGTCTAGCTTTTTTGGCGTGAGACTTTTGCAATGTGCAGTGGGATAAAATACATTTCCTTTTCTGGTTCGTTTTTCTTCTCTCTCTCTCTCTCTCTCTGTCTGTCTCACACACACACACACATGCACACACCCTTCACCTAGCACTTCGGACAGCGACCCACCCAGCACAGGTGCACCCGCACACATGGGCCCACACATCCTCCTCCCAGCCCCTCCCCCTGCCTAATGTTATGCAACCTCCTTCTGATGTATCCACCAAACCAGTACTGAATGTGGCCGAGAAGTTTTCAGTAAATCTTATTACCTACCATAATTCTGGTGCGCAGTTATTTTTCGGTGGTTAGTGGGACCTTGGAGCAGAGAAACTTTGGCTTCAGCCTACCTGTTGTTGAACTGATGACCCATGGATGGGAACGAGGTAGGGGGCCGTGTGAGTGACCTCAGTTTACCCGTCTGGGCAGGAGGGCACACTCACTGCATACGGGTGGGGCTCAAAGACAAAGACCAAGGGAGGGGAGCAGGGAGCCGGAGCCTGTTCCGCCCCCACCTGGCAGGGTTCCCCCAGAGCAGCAGCTCAGCCTGTGGTCCCTCTTCCACCATCCCTGACCTCCCTCAAAGGCCTTTGCCTTTCCCGGGGCCGCATCCTAGGCTCCAAAGGGTCTTCATCCTCAAAGCTGGTGGCACCACTGCCACCCCCCACCCCCCGCCAGCCCTCTCAGGCCCCAGGTCCCAGGAATCGGGAAGGAGAGCGAGTCTTGGCTGCCACATTGAATCCTGGATTTGTGTCCAGAGAGGAGCCTGCCCTCTGAACCCCAGGGCTCAGCACTCTATTCCCTGGAGCGAGTGGGAATTTAGGCACAGCTTCTCCCCACCCCACCCCACACCTCCCCAGGAAGCAGGTTTCTTGTTCCTTTCAGCCTAGTTTCCCTTCCTGGGCACCCGGTGAGATGTACGTGTCCCCCCTGCACCCCCCCAACGCCAGGCTGCAGGCAGGGAGGGGAGTGCACGCAGGCCACATGGGCCCGCAGGCAGCTCGAGGGGTGCTCCCTAGGTCCCCGCTCTCATGGAGCCCGAGCCTCCCTTCAAACCCAGAGCATCCACAGACAGAGACCCCACCTCTGGATGGTGAGTCTTGAGCCCCGCAAGTAGATGACACCTTAGAGCCTCACCTCCCAGAGCCCGGAAACCAGGAGGCTTTCAAAGAAGTGGTTTCCAAGGAAGACACTGTTCAAAACCATGCTATCAAAAAAAAAAAAAAATCCGTGGCCAAATTAATCTAGGATGAACTGCATATTCTATTCTGCTGGTGGGGTTCCAGAAGGCACAGGAGTAAAGGAAAGGCTCTGAGAAACCTGTTTATCCTGTTCCCCAGATTTATTTGCCTCCCCCCCCCCAAGTAGTATATATTCAAGTTTTGCTAATATTCCACAAAACACACTGTAGGCGACCCTATTGGGAGAAACCAGAGTAGCCTGCCCCAGCCTCTCCCACCTCTTGCTCAGTTTTTCTATCGGGTTCTGACAGCTTTTCAACCATGCCACCAATGATAAAGGGGTTTCCCAAATCATTTGAGATGTGGCTGGCAGTGTTATGAGAAGGAGCAACCTCTGTCTGTGCGTGACCAAGCCCTCTCCGGGCCCAGGAGAAGATGTGCCTCAATCCCCGTGGAGGTACGGGACAGTGCAGGGTGGGACCGGGGTGCTGGCGTTGGGGCCCTGGAAGCCGTTCCAGATGATGTCTGGCCCCAACCCCTATCCCAGCGGGGCAGACCTTCCAGGTTGGAAGGTTCCGGCTCACGGGAGCCAAGGGCCAGAGCTACGTTCCTTTGATGGGAGACCCCTGGGCCAGTTGGGGGCAACGGCTCCATCACACCCCAGCCCGCTCAGACTCACTCATCCAGCTGATGTGTATTGATAGAGCCCCGTCTCCGTCTCCCACCTCCGTCTCCGGCAGCTTCAGGTGCAGGGGATACACCTGCGGGCATCAAAGCTCTGGCCCCCAGGAGTTTACGTTCTAGGAGAACAGGCAACTGAATGTGTGCTGGTGACATCACCCTCACGTTGAAAATACGACCTCCTCCTGGGACCCTGACCTCAGATGTCATCATTCAGAGCTGCAAACAAGACTTTCGAGTCCGATGTGGCACTCAGGTCAAATTGAGCTCCCAGACGTGTTTTGTTTGGACCACATACTGTTTCTAAAAAAAGTTTTGTGCCAACATTTGAAAGACAGAATTGCCACCCAGGACCTATATTCCTACACGGCCACAACGGGGTGTAATCCCGTCATCGCTACCCCTTACGACGTGCTCTCCAGGTTATCACAGCACTGGCCGTACGCGTGCTCCCCCCAACACTGACACTTGTTACCAGGCTGTCACTGTTGGGTTGGCTCGTTGGTTAGTTATCCTCCCCGCCCCTGCCTTTTTTTTTTTTTGCCTTTATTTGACTTTCCTTTCAATATTTGCATTCTTGCTTCTTAAGAAGGAGCTATTCCCTCTCCATCAAGCATGAGAAAACAAGACAGTTCAGGAGGCTTGGCCTTTGACAAAAAGGGGAAAAAAATTATCCAAGAGAACGTATCTGTGGAAGTGAAGATATTCTGACGTTTCATTGCAAAGCGTTCTTTGTGTCCTACATCCAGACATCTTCACTCCGGCTACGTGCCTCCCCAGCCTCAATAGGGAAACATGAATCTTGGGACATAAAACCCACCAGGGCTGCTTGTTATATATGCAGATCTGGTCCCATGACCAACTGTTTCCTAGATTCCAAGGCAAGATGCCTGAGGACTTCGAGAAGCGTTGCTCTCAGAAAATAATTTTCAGGGCACCTGGGCAGCTCAGTCGGGTAAGCGTCCGACTCCCGATTTCAGCTCAGGTTATGACCTCAGGGTTGTGGGATCGAGCCCTGCACCAGGCTCTACACTGGGTATGGAGCCTATTTAAGATCCTCTCTCTCCCTCCCTTGGCCCCTTCCTTCCCGCTGCCCGCTCTCTCTCTCAAAAAAAGAAAAGAAAGTAGTTTTATTTTGCTTTTTCGAAGTTACTTGTTTATAGCTGCTCCCTTTACCTTCCTTTTGCTATAGAGACTACAACCCCGTCATTCAGCCAGTAGGATTCTCAGGTGCCTACTGTGTGCCTGGCACCATACAGGGGACAGAGGATAATTCAACTTTGCAGAGTGTCGCAGGGCGAGGGACCACCAAGGACTGGCCGAGAGAACACTGATCGATTGCGTCATACTCTGTGCATTTCCACTTTGGCATCTTATTTCCACCCCACGGATGAGGCAGATTTTATTATACCACTTTCGATTGTACAGATCTTACAGTTTTATATTTCTCAGCCTCTCTCTGGGCCAATCTCATTTAGCCCCCTTGCAAATTAAATGCATCTCATTAAAGCGAACCCATTTAGGACAATGCCCTTCAGGTGTGTGCATCTTTGTACATCTTTCATTTTAAGACAAGTGTTTGATTTATTTTTCATCTCATTACACTCTTTAAAATTATGTGCATCTCATTACACTCAGCGTGGTGAGACGACTTATTTCAGGTGTAGACATTACACCCAGTATTATCAGGCAAGGATTTTTTTTTCCATTTCATTACAAGCCTTACAATTTATGTACATCTCATTACAATCAGCCATTTAAGACAATTCCCTTCAGTTGTGTATATCTCATTATACCTTTTCATTTTCAGGGTTTTTTTTTTCTCATCTTATTACACCCAAGCATTATTCAGAGAACTCATGTCAGGTGTGCATATCTCACACCCACCTGTTATTTCATGAAATTCAGGGTGGTGGTTTCCCCCGTAGTATCACAAATTTTTATTACAGGGACCTCAGTTAAGGCTGGCTCTGCCCTCCCGGGGGCCTCCCAAGCTCCTTTGTAGGGAGAGGATGAGCCCTGGGTTCTCCTGGATTTGGTCAAGACTCTGCTAACAATTCCCTCTCACCGACCATCTAAATTAACTTCCTCACCTGCACACTGAGAGGTTAGAAGAGATGGTTGCTAAGTTGCCCTCGGCTGATGCTCCATGAAACTAGTCCTGTGGAAGATGATGTGGGTCCCCAGCTTCTCCTGGTGGGGGGACTCCTCCCATCTCAGGACAGCCCCCACCCCTGCTGGAGAAGCTGAGACTGACATCACTGTCCAGGCTTCCACGGGCCAGCGGGCTGCATGCTTCTTGCTGCCCTTCTGACGGGTCTCACTGTGTCACACAGGGTCACATTTTGGAAGGAGATTCAAGAACTCGGCTCCTGGACTCTGCCTCAGCACTTCAGGGCCCAGTGGCATCTCTGCCTCTCATGCAGCTTCCCCACCCCACCCCTGTAACACCCCCAGGAGGTCAGCCTGGAGTGCCTAGAATTGCTGGGCAGCTGTCTGGAGCTGCAGGTGCCCATTTCTATTCTCCACTAGATCAGAGTCTCCTGGGCTGGGCCCACGGTAGGTGCATCGTAGACAGCCCCCCAGCGATTCCCAACCCCTGCCCCATCCAGGACCAATCTCACAAAGGGATCTGCGGTAGCCCCGAGCAGAAAATGCTTGATGCTCTGAGTATTGCCCCTTTTGGGGCTGTTTGCCCAGAGCAGGGATCCAAGTGCAGAAGCAAAAAAATCGTTTCTTGGCCCCCAGAATGGGTCAGGAAACCCAACCTGCTCACCCCATACGGGAATCCCACCCATGGCCCACCATCTATTGTTACCTGCCTTTACCGCCCACCCCCAGGCTTGGGGAGCCCCATGCCTCCCGGGCAGAAAGGCTGCATCGCACACAGAGCCACCCCATCCCTCCAATTTCCACCATGGTCCGAGATCTGCCTTCTGAAGACACCCCTCCAGACTGTTCAGAGGTGGTCCTCAAGGCCTAGTCGATGTGTGGAAGCAGCACTTTAGGAGACCCTGCAATGCCCTTCTCAAACCTCTTGAAAGAGTCCGCACGCCTCCCACCTGTCTGGCCTAGTCACAAGGCATGTGAGGCCTCTCTGTGTCTGGGGTGCTCTGCGTGTTCCCTCTTCCGTCTCTCTCTACCTGTCTCCTTAGCAGTAAAAATAGAATCTTTCCGCTAAGTGCAAAAGTACATTGGACTTTTCACCCTCCCTCCTGCATCACTCCCCTTGAATGAACCTGCTGAGAAATCAGAATATGATCCAGCTCCAGCCTCTTTGCTTTGTCTCCTGGTCCCGGGGCTGCTGGCACCCAGAGACCTCTGGCCGTAGAATCGGCAGGTGCCAGCACTCCCCGGGCCACCGGCTGGCAGGATTTGGTGAGGACAGAGGGTACGGCTGA